CAAAGCGATTTCAATACAACTCAAGAGATAACACTTGATTAAACAATGCAAGTATACAATTACATCATCATGAATCGACCTTACAAGCACATGAGGACTTAAAAACTATTGAAATAAAAACTATAAACAATTCCCTTATGGGGCAATTACATATCACTTGAACAAGTTAAAAAATTACACCATTGAATTACATACATTGCTCAAACACCTTCACACGATCAAATTACATATGACAATTGTAACAACCGAGATAACAGTAAATAAAAACCAATAAATAGAGATATTAAAGCGCCAAACTAATTGGGGAAGCCAGTGGTCCGAACCCTTTGTACCCAAGCTATAAATTTGAGCTTTTTAGGAATTTAATATTGTCACAATGAATAGTACAATAGTGGTTTATAATCTCAAAGTGGGTAGGGTTTGGGACTTAAACAAGTAAGATTGGATATCATCAACACCCTTGATGCATCTATCAAATGGCATATGAGAGGTTATTACACCCTGGATACACATTCCCATCCAACCATTATGATGAAGGGATGAGATTAAACACCCTTATCATCCACATTAAACCTTAAGTATGACTACTTTACCCTTTTGTCTTTTAGTTCATATTTTTATTATAAGTGAGTCGAACTTGCTCTTACAAAAAGGCCATTAGTTTTAAATAATCAAATAGTGTAGAGATCCATCAAGGGCAATGGGCAATAAATTAAATGGTAAAACTGGTAAAATTCACACATGTTGAAAAGTACACATTTATGAAAGCCAGTCACCTTATGGATGTAATATTTCAAACCAATCACAATGAGCTTAATGTCTCTTTCACACATGGGTGAAGATAATTTTGAAATTTAAATTCAAAATTTGAATTTTCATGAATTCAATATTTAAATGGAATTAAAATAGACTTCACACATGCTAACAAAGTCACTTTTATGAATCAATTAAACATGTGACAAAATAACATTCAAGTTATAGCATAATATAGCATTTTAAATAACAATACATAACACAAGGTGTTAAAAAAAACTAATAAACAAATCCCAACAAGGTCCCCGTGCATAGGGATCAGTACCCAAGTAGGCGGTGATCTGTGTGGGGCCCCTTGGGGTGCCATGTGGCCACCCTATGGCCACTCAGATGCCACATGGCATCCTTAATGATGTCCTCATATGGTATTTTGTCCGAACAAATTTGGAAACCAATATTTTGTGATTAGAAAATTTCTGAAAAATTATACAATAATAATAGTAATTATTTAAAGTATTTATATACATTTACTTATTATTTATCATCGTAATTAAATTGAACAAAGGGTAAGTGAGATCTCATGGCCTCGACTCCAGGTATCAGAGTACTCTATTGGGCTAGTTCCGAATGATGTTTTATCGGTGTCTCAAACTGAATGGATAAATGCTCCACAGTCTATGATATAGATATACAATTGGTCACATCAAAGTCACTGATCTAGAGCTTTCATTCATTCGGCTCTCAATGGATTACAGGTACACCACTGTGAGACATATTCCAATACACGTACAAGGGCTCTATCAAAGTACATGTGCACTGGCTCTTCCAAACTTGGATAAAGGGTTTGGAAGAGTGGATTCTCATGCGATCGTTAGTGCACATGCTATGAAATGGTCTCGTGTAAGGATATGAACTTATGTCACATAAGTCATGACTATCCCGTACAGGGCCGTTACTCAAAATAAATACTCAGGTTTTATTGTACTTGATTTGATACTCCAGGCCCTGACTAATCATAACAATCACGAGACTAATATAAACAAGATCTTGACTAAGAGGTGACCCTCACACCTCATCGAGAAATTGCTTTCTCAAACGTAAAACTCTTATAGCCTTAAATACTTGGGGCATAAGAATCTAGGCCTCATTTCACAAAGCACCCAGATTCTATCTCTCAATCACTCCAACTGAATATTAAACTATTGGTATTCAGGCCTTGAAATGCCATATACCCAACATATTAGTATGCGATGATCACATAAAACTCTAGTTGCACATCTTTGCTTCACTCACCCAATTCTAATTCTATGTGCGATATCTTCCTCGATTTCTCCAGTTTTTATGAATTATCAGCCCAAGATATCGAAAGTGTGGTTTTTTTTTATACTTCCTGACTATAAATATTGACTACTTTCTCGTCCCTCCTCCCATTATTACTAAACTTGTACCACAGTATCTCCTCTTGTAGGTGCCTAGTTAAGTCATCAATAACTAAAACAAAGAGGCACATGCTCAATGTTGACCCTTGATATAAACTATTATCACTGAAAACTCACTCGTCTCTTTACTGTTATTCGTACACTAGTTAGTGCTCCATTGTACATATCTCTCAACAAGCTGGTGTAGTGTTTTGGGATGATTTTCTTTTATAATACCCGCCAAATCAAATATCGAGATACTCTATCATAAGGTTTCTCTACATCAATAAAGACCATGTGGAGGTCCTTTCCCTTAATCCTAAACTTCTCGATCAGTTATTTAAGCAAGAAAATAGCCTCATTTGTTGACCTTCTTGGCATAAAACCAAATTGATTTTCAGATACACTATTTTTATGCCTTAATCATTGCTCAATGATTATTTCCCGGAGTTTCATAATATGGCTCAAAAGCTTGATCTCTCAATAGTTTACACAATTCTGTATGTCTCATTTGTTATTGTAAATAGGTAATACAATACTTTTCCTTGATTTGTCTAGCATTTTTTTTGTTGTCAACACCTTGTTGAACAACTTCATCAGCTAGTCAATGCTAATTTCTGTCATGTACTTTAAAACCTCTATTGAGATACCATCTGGTCCTCAAGCCTTTCATCTTTATCATTCTTAAAGCTCATTTCACTTATGACATCCTAATCCTAAAAATGTATCTATGACCTCTTCTGTTACTTGTATCAACAGTCCCTTTTACCACTATGTTTCCATTGCATTTGTAATTTAATATTTTTTTAAAATAGACTCTCCACCTTTCGTTGACATTGTAATCATTTATTAAGACATTTTGATCCTCACTATTATTGCATTTAATATGATTTAAATCTCTTCATTTTTTCTCTCTTATTTTTGCTAATTTAAAGAAGATATTGTATACAATAAGACCATTTACCTTTGAAACAAGGTGGTCACCATTCTTTACAACTATTTGATGTGAAATTTGATAACTTGGATGTATTACAAAGTTCAAAAAAATTTCTTTCGAAGTTTAAGCTCGATCAATGGAATAATTGCATCTACCCAATTTCACATCCAATGGTCAAGATTAATGTGACCACCTTGTATTAAAGGTACATGGTATCATTCTATACTTTATCTTTGAAGAAGGGAATTTGAAATGAAAATTTGAAAATAGAAAAATTTAAAATGATATTTTGAAAAACAATTTTCATCTTATTTTTGTGGAGCTAACATCTTTAGGATTGATGTTTGATGTATCAAGGGACACTACTTATGTCCTTTGACGCACAATAAACTTTTCCTATAGATAAAATGTCAAATAGTTCACATCTGACAAGTATTCCGAAAACTTTTTTTTTCTTTTAGGTCGATATCCCCCAAATTTGGGGTCTTAGAGGATATCTAGGGGTGGTAATGGTTGGATCGGATCTGGGTTCACCCCCGATCCAGACCCTACCAAACTAGGTTTCATATGGACCTGACCCGGTCCCATGCTGGGTCTAAGTAATTTGAACTTGGACTCGGGTCTAGAAATTAAAAAAAATAAGAAGTTTATTTGTGTTTCATTTAGTATATATTTTATGCTCAATCAGGTCAACCCCAACCTGATCGAATAGGGTCCATGCAGACCCGGACACGATTCGGGTCAACCTGATTGGACCTGATTGCCACCATGAGGATATCTTCCTTTTGTGAGAGAGAGAGATCACAACTTTTGTTTGTCAGTCAAGGATAGAGAAGGATCCTTCCTAGAACAATTTCGGTGGCATGCACATTGAAATTGGAAAAGATAATGTGCAATTTCATGCTCAAGTTCTATAGAATAACGGAAAGAAATTCCTTTTTATAGGGCTTCTTTTAAAAGGTAAATGATATGCAATGTACCTAAGATTCTGAAAAGACAGCCGCATGCCAAAACCGGTAGTGACAAAAATTTATTGAAAATAGTTTATATGAGTGCGAGGCTCTAAATAATCAAATTAAGGTACACCTCAAAAATTTCACTAAAAGAGGTTGTTTTGATACTAAAAACTTGTCAATTGATACGACCTTAAGATGCATGGATACGATAAAAAATGGATTTCAAGTTTTTAAAATAGTACATTTTGTAATGTATTTTTGAAATATCAATTTTCAAAATTTTCAAATGCTGGATCTTACACTATTTTGAAACTTTACAATTTATAATTAGAGATGAAAATAAATTTTCATCCTACACAAAAATATCTGGTACGGAAACAACATATTTAAGCACCATTTGAAAGTGCACCCTACTTTGATCGTTTACTACAATATTTGGAGGATCCGGTTTCCAAAACTTCGTCTTAATCAAACGCACCACTAGGACCTCGTACCAAGAAAATCTTCTAAATAACCCTTTTAGTCGATGGACTAAGTATCTAATATGATCCCGCAAGAACACGCTACAAACCTCCAAAGGAAAAAAAAAAATTCCTGATAAATTATGAAGAATTAAAATAGTGGGCCCTCCAGCTCCTTTTAAATAAAGGCCGAAAAATTCAAGTTCTCTAACGGGTAAGAGGTGACTGGCTGTACCCGGTCAAACCCCCGCTCCAAGGTTCTCAGCCGGTCACCAAAGCGGGATTTTCCGGTCGATTCCGGTCACCCACTGCAGACGTGTCATTTTACTTTCCCTCCAATAAGTGGTCCAAAAAATCAAAATATTAAAAATTTAAAACCTTTTATTATCTCTGCTCACTTTTTTCCCATTACTTTCTTTATGAATGTCATATCCTCAAATTTTCCCACTCTCTCTCTCTAAAACCCTCTGCATTCTCTCCTCTCTCTCTTAAATCTATTCTCTCTCTAAAATCCTGCATTTCTCTCTCTAAACCCTTTCTCTCTCATCAAATTTTCCCATGAATTTTCTGATATGGAAAAGTATCCCCTCTCTCTTAAATCTTTCTCTAAAACCCTTTCTCTCTCATCAAATTTTCCCATGAATTTTCTGATATGGAAAAGTATCCTCTCTCTTAAATCTCTCTCTAAAACCCTTTCTCTCTCATCAAATTTTCCCCATGAATTTTCTGATATGGAAAAGTATCCCCTATCTCTCTCTCTCTAAAACCCTCTCTCTCATCAAATTTTCCCCATGAATTTTCTGATATGGAAAAGTATCCTCTCTCTGTAAAACTCTGTTCTATCTCACTTTTTTCCCCATTTAAATTTCTGAAATCTAGCTCACTCACTCCTTTGACTCTCTCTCTCTTTCTCTAAAGTCTAAAACCCTTTCTAGTCTCTCCCGACCCTTTTTACTCCATTAATTTTCTGAAATCTATACCCTCCTCTCTCTCTCTCTCTCTATCTCAAATGATCATCTCCTCGGTTTTTCTGCGATAACTCATCGATCAATCAAAAAATAATCACGCTGATTAATCGCTGTTTCCTCTTCCACTGGGCTATCTTTTCGCTGTAATTTGAGTGTCTATCTTTGCGGAAGGGATTAATCGCGAACAGAATCGCCGATTGAGGTAGCTTTTCCTATTAATCCGTGTTTATTTTGAATTTTCCTTATTTTTCGGAGAATTCGAAGTTTTGAACTGCTGCAACGGTTAGCTTTCTTTTTGGAAATCATCTGATAATTTCCTTTTTGGAATGATGAACTTATTACTCTCCATTTTCTGCCTCTCGGTTACTGGTTTTTGGTAATAAGGTTTTGGGTTAAAATACGAGGTGGGTTTTCTTGAAAGTCGGGAAGGTTTTGGAAGCTTTTTCAGCTACTGGTTCGCGTGAAGGATTATGGAGGTATTTTATTTATTTGTATTTTCACATTTTTATGATGTTTAATATAGTATTTAATCTTTTACCAGCTGGATTTAATTATTTTCTTGGTATTTTCTGAGAAAAAATATTGAATATAGTTGTCAATTGCAGTGGAAGCTAATAGCTGAGTTCTGATGTTTTATGTTATTTTTGCTTTTGTTATTTTTTTTTCTTGGAAATTTATAGTATATTTTGTATTTGGAGATCTCCAGGTTTTTTTGGATTTTTAACCTATGAAAGGCTGGATGATTATTGGGTTATTTAGTTTCTTTGTTTTTAAGTTTAGTTTTGAACTATTTTTCAGTTAATGTGATTCACTGAAATTTTATGCAAGGGATATCTGAATCCAGAATGATCTTTCTTTATAGGAAAAGGCAAAAACAAGAAACATTAGCTGGTTGTTAATGAAAGTAGATTAAAGGCTAATATATCAGAAATATTGTTTAGTTTTACTGTAAAGTCATGGAACTAATTGCTTTTTTTTTTTAAAAAAAAAACATTTCATTTGTTTTGGGTTTTCTTGTCTCTTTACTTTTAGCCTTCTGGGGCGTTTTATAGTTTAGTTATAAACAGTTATCTGAATTTGCCATTAATTTATATGTGGGTCTTTTACATTTAAGAAAACGGGTGTTTTTTTTCGTGGTTTGCAATCGCTATAAGAATTAAAAACTAAATAGTCTGTGATCTTTTCTACTAATTCTAAATGTATAGTTGATTTCTTTAGGGGTCCCTTTGGTTCTTTACTTCTAGGGATTTTTTTTGGTTTGTTTCTCAAAATAAACATACCCATAATTTTTATTTGGAGATCTGAGGATATAGAAAATGAAGTACCTTCAATTTTTTTTCAATAACACTAGATGGATTTTTATTTTGGTCTAGAATGTTTTTGGTTAAATTTCGTGTTTATGCCATTAATTTTCTATTTGGTTCTTTTAGATTTTATAATTGCAGGGGTGTGTTCTGGTTGGTTTTCAACAGATGAAAGAAAATTATGATAATTATGGCATATGACAGTGTGTTTCTCAAATTATAGAACTAGTAATGAGTTTTTAAAGAAACAAAAAGAAACAAATCATAAACTAAAATAAAATGCAAGTTTTCTGGTTGATTTTTCAAAAAAATAGTGTACTTTTGGTAACTGCATAACTATGGTTAAAGTTTTATAAATTTCTTTAATTGAAAATAGGCTCTTAGAAATTTGGGCTTCACATCTTTGTGTTTACGGTTTAGAGAGAGAGAAGAAGGGGAAGGAAGAGAAGAAAATAGGCGCTCGGCTCATAGCCATTAGGGTTTATAGAGAGAGAAGGAAGTAGGAAAAGTTCATCGGCTTTGGTTTATAGAGAGAGAAGAAGGAAGAAAGAAAAGTTCTTCGGCTTCACAAACCCTAATACCCTAATGGAAGAAGCCCTAAGTGATTTTTAGAGAGAGAAAAGGAAGATGGGATGCTGATTTGGGATAGTTTGAAGAGGAAATTTCTCATTTGAGTTGTTGTTTGAGAGAAAGCCCTAATTATACTGATTTGAGAAGAGACCCTAACTGATTTTTTGATTTGTGAAGAGGCCCTGATTTTTAGAGAGAGAAAAGAAGAGGGTTTTTCATTTTGTTGGGGAAACAAGAAGCAGAGCTGAAGGATTAGGTTTTGGGGATTGCTTGCTCCTGTAAGTTTACAGTGTACACTATATTGTTTAACTTTGTTATCACATAATCAAAAACAAAATATTGATTACTTGGTCCTGTGCTCACACTCTTTGCTTCTCATTCATCATTAAAAGACTATGTTTTGAGCTCTAATTTGTGCCATAAACATTATTTTCATAAAAACAATTATCACAAATAATAACAGAAATCTGCATGTATATGATTTTCTTTACACAATGATTTACTTTATGAAATGATTTGCTATAAACAGTATTATTTCATTTACACATTGATTTTCGATAATAACAACTTTGTTTAAGTTTTAGAAAAAGGGAAAAAAATTCATACTTTCAATCTGCAACTGTGGCTTTGAAGAACACAGTGGGGATAAAAATTTATATTTTAGGATTTGTTTTTTTGAAATAATATTTTTTTTCAAAAGCACAAAAGTAGCAATGGCTGCAATACACAAAACAGGGAAAAAAAAAATTATAGGTTAAAAAAGATATGATTTTTTGGTCTGATTTAAATTGTATTATGAAAAAATTGCGTTTTAAACGTTTTTATGAAAAGTCCGCGTTTTTTTCACGACCTTTTCAAAAGGTCACCATTTAAAACTGTTTCCATAAAAACGCCGATTTTTTTGAAAAAAGCGCCGATTAAACTGCGATTTGCTAACTATGGTATCTACTGGCCAAGGATTACATAGTTGTTACCCAAGTGCGTTAGAGTTGCTTGATTTTTTGAAAAATTAATTTGATTGTGCCGTTGGCTAATGCTGTAAGTGTAGTTGTATGTATTCCGCTGCATTTGTGGCGTGTTTCGTTTTCTTATAGGCGTATGTCCATCATTGGTCTGACATCTGATTCTTTCTTTATTTAGTCCTAGAAAAATGCTCTGAAACTCTTTAAAGTCCTATATACATGTCAAAAAAGTTTATATATTATTTTTTGTTATTTACATATAATTATTTGTTTATTTTCTCTCTCTCTCCCTCCCTGTTGGTGATATATTCTATTTGTCCTAACAAAGAACAAGGTTTCTGAAAATTTGTTTCATCTTTTACCTAATCTAAGTTTCCTTTAGCTACCTAGGGATCTGTGTAGTTTATCTCTTCCAGATCATAGTTCAGTTGCCTGAAAGCTCTTCTTCTTTGATTATGGTTGTTGTATTGAAGGGCTGAAGTGTAATACTCTACATGAACTCCACAAGAAAGGGTCTAGAAAGCTTCCATAGAAGAAGAAATGAGGAAGCTTTTCTCCTTTAGGTCATCCTCTTTAGCAAATGGTGGTTCCGACAATATTAATTCTCAGACACCCACTGAAGAGAAGGTGTATTGGGAGTCCCCTTCTCGAGTTGGCGATAAAAATGAAGTGGTCAGAGCTCAGGACTTTGAAAGCCCCAAAGCCTCTTTGTTTGAATCAGGAAGGCAATTCGTAGAAAATGGAGACTCAGCTACTTCAAGTCACAGGAGGAGCCTTTCTTCTTCTTCCATCATGTTTAATGGCTTGAGAGAAAGGTGCTTGAGCCCTTATAATGACCATATTGGCAAATACTCAGGTGGAAAAGTAGATGTCTCAGTTCAGGGGGATGAATACTCCATCCAGTAAGTACTTTTATTGTTCACCTTGAACTTACGAGAAGAGGCTGAGAAACCTTTTTACTTTTACTTGTTAGTTTCTGCAATATTGTTGCGCTTATCCATGTCAACTAGAGCTTATGAGGAAAAGGGGAAAAATGCCAGTTATTTTTACTAGTAGTTTCTACTATTAGATTTTATACCACCTTGGTGCTTAGTACTTTTGTCCCTTTCATCTATGCCTGTGTGCAAGTGCTTGATTTGTTGATTTATGATTTTACATGAAACGATTTTTTTTAGAAGGGTTTAGATGTTTAGCCAACAAGCAAACTCATTCTTTGCAGCTTTTTGGGTTTTGCCAAATGTGCTTCTGTTGGTCTGGCCAGGTCTCTACTGGTCTGCTGAAATTGGCGTTTGGTTTTGATGTAGCTGCTACTTTTTTAACTTCAACTTTGCAAGCCTGCAAATCTCTCTCTCTCTCTCTCTCTCACACACACACACACACACACACACACACTCACTGATCGGTGGACTGTTATGGCTAATTGAAAATGGCCTTTTGTTATTTCACCTTTTTGTGCATTCCTGGCTTCCATTCAACTTTCTTCAGCCTGGATGGTCCATCTTATTTGTACAAAATAATGACTGATAATTTGTTCAATACTTATTTTGATTATCCACTTTTGGCAGTTCAGTAACACCCGAAGGGAAGTCTCATAAGAGAAGAAGCGGAGGGAGTCAGAAAAGTCATGCAACAGAGAAGCTAGAGTCTTCTTGCTCATCCAGAAGCCATCCTGATTCATCAGGAACTTCACCTTACCTCTCTCCTGTCCCTCTTAGATGCAGATCTGCACGCTTAACACAGGCCACTGATAAAGTCCTGGACCTCTACATTGATGGAGAATATCAGGACAGGAAGTTGAAGCCCATGAATGACTTTCCAGTTCCTAAATCAAGTAGGCCACCACGGTCACAGTCTTCAGCACCGATTTCACCTGTGAGTAAGGAGCTTCCTAAATCTCTTTCATTTAGGGAACCAAGGGGATCACCATTAAACTTTTCAAGCCTGGATTTTAAAGCAGATGATGTTTTGCATTTGAGAAGGTCAGGTGCTGTTAGGCCTTCCTCAAAGAATAGTTTTGCCAAAAATGTTGCTGAGAGACTCTATAAGGTATTACCTGGAAAATCTAGCTCAAAATCCCGGGAATATGACCGAGAAACCAGTTCTACGGTGGAGGATATATTTGAGGACTACTCAGAGTCTCTACGTGCTTCAGGTTTCGATGCCAAAGCACCACAAAATGGCACCTCTGAGTATATTTATTCTGGAAATATTCACACTTTTTGCTCAGAGGAAGTCGCAAGTTCTCATGAAGATGACGAAGATAGGATTTTGAAATGGCTTTCAAGGCATGATAATCTTTATGACCCAGATGATGTTTTGCTTAGAAAAGGCAAGGAGGCAGAGGAGAGGGTGAGGTTGTTATCAAAAGAGTCTGAGCATTTGTCATATAAGAATAATGACCTTACTGTAGTGGCTTTGCTTAAGACCATTAGGCAGATCACTGAAGATAGGAGAAACCTGGCCATTGAAGTTGCAGCACAAATACATGGTCGGCTGGCAGAGAGGGCCTCTGCAAATCAGGCACTTAAGCAGGCCAAGGTAGAGTTGGATTCGAGAACGAGGAGACTAGAGAAAGAGAAGAATGAGTTGCAAATGGGTTTAGAGAGAGAGCTAGATAGAAGGTCGACTGATTGGTCCTCTAAGTTAGAGAAGTACAAAACTGAAGAAAAGAGGCTTAGAGAGAGATTAAGTGATCTAGCAGAGCAAAATGTATCTCTACAGAGAGAAGTTCTCTCGCAGAGCAGCAGAGAGTCGGAGAGCAAAAAGCGAATCATAAATTCAGAAATACAATTGAATGAGTTTGTTACGAGATTGGAGGAGGCAAATGTGGAGATTACGCATCTCCAACAAGCTCTGACGGAGGCACAAGCATGTTTAAAACAAGCCGAAGAAGATCGGGACTTCATCAAAAGAAGTTTTGCAAAGAAAGAAAGAGAAGTTAAGGACTTGCAGAAAGCAGTTATCAGGTTGCAGAGGCTTTCCAATGAGCAAGAGAAGTCAATCAGTGGGTTGAGGCAGGGACTGAGTGATGAGTTGGGAAAGGACTCATTAGAGAGAGAAAGTAATGTGAAAAATTTGCTCCATGAGCTGGCCAGATTAACTGGGATGGAGCAAAGCCTAAGAAGGCAGCTAGAGTCCTGTAGAATTGAGGTGGAATCTCTTAGGCAAGAGAACATTGCTCTCTTGGAGAGGCTCCAAGACCAACAGAATGGTGGGTGGTACTCTCTCTTCAAGCTAGACAGGGAATTGCATTCTAGAGTTGATGCTTTGCAAAATCAGGGGCTTTTGATGTTGAAAGAGACTATTGGTATTTGTAGCAAATTGCTCGAATTCACCAGAAGCAAGCACTGTCATTTCTCTAGGATTGCTGGCTCAGAGGATGGCCGTCAATTAGATGATGGTGGGGATGATGGGGTAAATGACTACCAATTCCTTGAGTTTGATATAAAAGTACAGAGTTTTAAAAGAGAGACTGAAAATTTTGGCAGGAGCTTACAGATGGTTTCTGGCATTTTGCAAGATGTACCTGGATTGTTGTCTTTTGATTCTCAGAGCTCAGAGAATGGTGATCCGGAGAAGCTAAATCATCATAATTTTGTAGTAAGCTAACTCTAAATGATCCTATTTACTTTTTCTTCTTTTTTTCCTTTTGTGAATAACAATTGATAGATTATGTTTTAAGGCAAAGCATGCTATAGTCCTATTGCAATATGATATACTTATAGTCCATTGGGTTCATCGCTTTCTGATGAAAGTGGGCCCTAAGTGGATCCAATGGCTGGATCCACTCTTTCAGTCACGGTTCTGTGTCACTGGATGGTGATGATCCCAATGACTGCAATTTTTCATAGTCTACTAGTTTATAGTATACTCTTTAATACCTGGTATACCTGCAGTGATATTAATATGGTCATGTTTCTATGCATTTGGCCTTCAAAACCATATTTTCTTCGACTTTACCATTTTGGACCAATTATGAAGCCAATATTAATGGCCAGTTACAATGGTGATATACAGCAAATCAATAAGTGATAAATTTTGTCGAAAAACCATTACATAGTGTGTGTGTGTGTGAGAGAGAGAGTTTACTCATTCTATAGTCTCAAATTATTATTTTTTTGAATGTTTAGTTTCAAAATAATTATTTTCTGATATTCTTGATATTGGGTTGATGTTGTTGGTTGGTTCATCTAGGCCGCAAATCAATCAGTGATAAATTTTGTCGAAAAACCATTACATAGTGTGTGTGTGTGTGAGAGAGAGAGTTTACTCATTCTATAGTCTCAAATTATTATTTTTTTGAATGTTTAGTTTCAAAATAATTATTTTCTGATATTCTTGATATTGGGTTGATGTTGTTGGTTGGTTCATCTAGGCCGAAGTGGATGTCGAACTGAAGGCTGAAACTCTTCTTAATAGAGCTTTAAGAGAGAAGCTTTGTTCTAAAGAGATAGAACTGGAGCAGCTTCAAGAGGAGCTCTCAACATCTGTGAGGCTTCAGGAGATTCTCAAATGTGAAGTTCAGAGGGCACAAGATGCAGTATCATGTTTGACCCACAAGTTGAAAGAGCTTGAACTTCAGGTGTGGAGTCTATTTCCATATTTAGGGCAAGGTTTAAAAAAATGGTTCGGTATCTTGAATCGGTCTCACCCATACCCGTGGCGGATCGGTGGATTGGTTCGGAGAATCGGCCGAATCGGCAATTTTTGTCTGATTTTTTTTTAAAACAATCGCTATAATTATCTAAAAATAGTGTTCTTTTAGTTTTTAAAAGAAATTAGGAGTGGTGCATTGTGTACTTTCATTACTTTGTAAAAACAGGTGAATGCTAAGACATTGTTTTCATGTCTGGATGTCTGTATAATTGTTAATTGTAATATAATATTATAATATTGCATCAAAAAAATTTAAAAATATTTAAAACACTTCCATATTATAAGATAAAAAATAATAATCTCCAATATGAAGTGAAATTAGTATCACACCAAAGTATCAAGAATTTATTAATTCGCTTGACTCATCTAAAATTATCCCAATTTAACTAATTATAATATTATATATTGATATTGAAATTGTTTGTTTATAACTTCATATTTTATAATTATATTACTATACGAATAAGAACAAATAAAAAATGTCTTATAATATCATCTAATTTAAATAATTTTATTTACAATTATAAGAAAAAATAATGCAATATATAATTTATAGTGCAAATAAATTGGTAAATGAAATACAAGATATGATTGTCAATGTATAATTATTAATTATAATATTATAATGAACATGATTAAAAAATTATTAGAAGACGTTTTCATATCATATTTTTGTAAATTATAAAAAAGATCAATAAATATAATTAATCTATATTTTTTTTTTGTAGACCATTTCATTTGATGGACGTCTTTCTATAAGAGAGAGGGAGTCGAATTTTAAATCTATTAAAATAAATTTGAAGCTGGGTTTCCCATTTCTACTTCCTGAGTTTACATTTGTTTGGTAACTGATGAATAATGAAGAGATCACAAAAATGTCGAATCAAGACTACTACTACTCATGAGAAACCAACGCAACAAACACTACACTAAGTAGTTGTTAATAAAAAATTCAAAGAGGAGACAACACCAATAAGGTGCCTTTACATGAGAGATTGATGTAAAATGTTTTTAGGATTATCTCAAAATCTATTTTTATATCTAATTATAAAATTTTAAATTTTAAAAATAGTTAAAATCAAGTAGATCTATAAACATATGAAAATCTTGAAAATGGATGGTGTAGATAATATGTTGTAAAATGTATTATTTTTGAGACTTAAAATCTTTTTATTTTTCATGATCGTACATATCGATGTCGAGATGATCAAGCAAAGGGTTTTTTAACATCAAAATTACTTTTTCCGATGGATTTTTGAGGTGCATCCGTAATTCTACATTATTCCTCATATGCATTATTCCTTATATGAAAGAGACAGTAGGCTCAAATCAAAGACTCGTGGGAGAAAAAGAGCTTATAAAAGCAAACGTCAATGGGTGTTTGGTGTGCGCGCATTTAAGAGAGTGCATGTGAGTGGGCCCCAAGAATTGGATGATGCGTGGGGACTACTTTTTCAAATTATTTTTTTTTTAGGAAATTTCACAACCGAATTTTTTTTTAAAATTGATTACGACATAAACGGTTTATGACATAATAGCAGCAATTTGTGATGTCATCATGCTGGTTCCACATGTCAACACGGCTGGATCCCCTTTTCTAAGCGGATCTGGGACGGTTTGGGTGATGCGCGATTCCGAATCGGGCTACCCAATTTGTAAACACTGATTTAGGGGTTATTAAGAATTTATTTATGATCTTTCAAATTTCCTTTTATGATTATTCCATGAGGGATTATGACTGCACTTTAAAGGATACCATTCTGATTTCGCTGAGGGATTAAACTTCATGTTTGTGGTCTACTGGTCTACCACAGTAGCTTGGGGTCATTCAGAAATTATTTTCTAGGTTCCGTTTAAATATTTCACTGTAATTAATTCCATAGGCATTGTCATTCCACATTCAGTTTATCTTCGTAGGGATCTTCAGGTTCTTGTCAATTTCTTGGATAATTATCATATTTCTGTTGTGAAAGTTACCCCGCCTCTCTCTCCCAATGTTGGTAATGGTTTGGTGTGTAAAAATTGAGCAGATAGGGAGAAAGGATGAAGCAGCAGACAAGCTCAGTTTTGAGCTTCAAGATTGCATGAAAGGCTTGAGCATTGTGAATGGGATACTAGCAAAGGTTACAGAAGAGAAAGATTTGATGTTGAAGGACTTTGAGCAGTACAAAGAGAAGAACTTTCTGCTAAATTCTGAAGTGGGTTCGCTAAAAAAGAAGATCGAAGCTCTGGAGGAGGATGTCTATTATAAGGATGGTCAGATAACTATCTTAAAAGACGACATTCGCAAACTACGACATGAAATTCTCTACCTTCCTGATGGTGTGGAAGATTCCATTCTCGAAAATTGGCACAAGAGTCCTGAACTTCTTTAAATCAACTTTGTTTCATATTTTCTTTCTGGCTTTTTTTTTGCTTTTTATATTTTTCTTGCTTTCTTCACATTTGCTGCTTTCTTTGAGTCTTCTCTGTTTCTGTTTTTGTGTCCCAGGGGTGGGTGTACATAATATCTTGATTCTTTTTAGAATAAACTCCTTTTTTTTTTTTTTGTATTTTCCAAGTGGCGTTTCAGTTTGGGAGGTCTCTCCCTCTCTCTCTTTGCAAGATAAATTTAGTAGAGAGTTTGGTGTTTCTTGTCAATGAAAATTTGACATTTTACAGCAATTTGTGTCCATTATTAGAGTTTCCTTCAATAACATGGTCTCTTCAAAGATTTTTTATTTATTTGAGTTTGCTTTGATTTTCATTAGTAAAAATTAAGGTGTATGCCAAGGTGACATGAATAGTATTAGAACTTTGAAAGTAAACATTGGTCGGGGAGTGGCTTGCTTAACATCTTGCTGGGAAATGCCCTTTTTGTCATTGGAAAAGTTACAAATCAATCATCTCGATATTGTGACAATCATAGATTTGAAAAAAAAAAATGCAGACGGATTTCAAATCCTAAAAATAATGCCTTGTAATATGTTATGTGAACCATTCATGTCATGTGCCCGTCATAAAAGTTTTTTGCAACAAAATTGCAATTTTTCGATTTATAATGGGGCTTTACCAAATAATGGTGACCGCACAAGATATGTTATGACACTTTTCCTTCTAATAATGTCTTCTCTCTCATGTGATAATTTCTCTCAGCTCAATGGTTTTCTCCTAATATTGGATTCTCTCTATATCTATATACCAATTTAGGTAATTATGTTGCATTTATTTTTAAAATTTCTTTTGGGTTAGATAAAATTTCATAAGAAAACCAATCATGTCATGAACAAATAGAGCTTTCTACACATTATTTCACAATTTCCATTCCATATTTCGGTTTTTCCATCACTTGGTAATTTACATTCCATCATCTCAATTTTCCTCCCCTTGACCTGATGTAAAATGGTAGTTTTCACTGTTCTATGAAAATGGGTTGGCTGCCCTAATTGGCTATTTATTGGGTCGATCTGGGTCAGCAAATTGGTAAGGAATCCGAAAAATAATAATCAATGGGCATTGGACGATTCCAAGCTGTTCAAGAGCCTGATCCCACAACCACCACCTTAATTGAACCGGGCCGACACATGGTTTTCTAAAACACTACTAATTTGACATAGGCTGCAACTTAGGTCAGAGGAAATTGCAATAAGACCATTATCTTTGGTAGGTCTTGATCACTCCTAAATGTCAAATATAAAAATGGGTGACTAGAAGTGTGCCTTTGACTATGCTCAAAGTCTGAAAAAATGTATCTTTCGATCTTCTTGTGCAGACTGACAATGCAACCTTACCTCCCCCCTCCCTATTTTACATTTGATCGTTAGTGGTGTTTGGAATCTACTTGCACTAGGGATAAAAGTTCTTATAGGATACAATCTATTAACCAAATGACACCTTACACTTATTTGAACCCTGGAGGTTGAATGTTACAGTGCAGTGCATGACTCTGGTTTTTTCATTTCTAAACCTGCTCGAAATATATTTCCAAAAAAAGAAGTATTCCTTATAAAAATAATTGAAACTAACCATTTTTAATATTTTCAATAAGCCAATATTTTGATATCATATTGTTGTAATGCAAGCTGCTTGAGCCGAAATCCTGAGTTCAATTCTTCGGACTGAAAACCAGGTTTCAGTTATGGGACATATTCCCTTCTTCCTGAAATGATGAAATGAATAGTCAAAAAGAAAAAAGAGGGGGGAAGGGGCGCAGTTAGAATGCTAAAAGGCAAATGATAATATGAACAGACAGGTAATCTTAGCCACCTATTGATCACAATAGACAGATAAGGTTACATGAGCATACTGTTGTTTGCAAAACTATACATCAGTATACAATCCTCATACACATATACATTGGGAAAATCAGATGCTTGCAACAAAAAAGAAAAAAGGAGAGAGAGAATAAAAAGAAGGGAAAATAAAAGAAAATGAAAATGCATTCAGATTGTCTATAATAACATAGGAAGTATTGGGTGGCTTACATGTGCTCATTGGGTCGTCTTTACTGGTCTATGAGGCTTTGGAGCTGCATGCAAGTGCAAAGCCACAGTTACTACACATATCTTAATCAAGAAAGAGAGAGAGAGAGAGAGAGAGAGAGAGAGAGAGAGAGAGAGAGAGAGAGAGAGAGAGAGAGAGAGAGAGAGAGAGAGAGAGTAGTAGAGTAGTAGAGTAGTAGTAGTAGTAGTAGTAGTAGTAGTAGTAGTAGTAGTAGTAGTAGTAGTACGTAGTACGTAGTAGTACGTAGTACGTACGTACGTACGTA